TGAAGCTATTCACAACTGCCTTATACCAGCGGTATATGAAGCTATTCACAACTGCCTTATACCAGCGGTATATTAAGCTATTCACAACTGCCTTATACCAGAGGTATGAAGCTATTCACAACTGCCTTTACCAGAGGTATATTAAGCTATTCACAACTGCCTTATACCCTATTACAACTGTATATGAAGCTATTCACAACTGCCTTATACCAGCGGCTATATTGAGCTATTCACAACTGCCTTATACCAGCGTATATTAAGCTATTCACAAACTGCCTTATACCAGCGGTATATTAAGCTATTCACAACTGCCTTATACCAGAGGTATATTAAGCTATTCACAACTGCCTTATACCAGAGGTATATTAAGCTATTCACAACTGCCTTATACCAGAGGTATATTAAGCTATTCACAACTGCCTTATACCAGAGGTATATTGAGCTATTCACAACTGCCTTATACCAGCGGTATATTAAGCTATTCACAACTGCCTTATACCAGCGGTATATTGAGCTATTCACAACTGCCTTATACCAGCGGTATATGAAGCTATTCACAACTGCCTTATACCAGCGGTATATTAAACTGCTATTCACAACCGCCTTATACCAGAGGTATATTAAGCTATTCACAACTGCCTTATACCAGCGGTATATTAAGCTATTCACAACTGCCTTATACCAGCGGTATATTGAGCTATTCACAACTGCCTTATACCAGCGGTATATTGAAGCTATTCACAACTGCCTTATACCAGCGGTATATGAAGCTATTCACAACTGCCTTATACCAGAGGTATATGAAGCTATTCACAACTGCCTTATACCAGAGGTATATTGAGCTATTCACAACTGCCTTATACCAGAGGTATATGAAGCTATTCACAACTGCCTTATACCAGAGGTATATTAAGCTATTCACAACTGCCTTATACCAGAGGTATATGAAGCTATTCACAACTGCCTTATACCAGAGGTATATTGAGCTATTCACAACTGCCTTATACCAGAGGTATATTGAGCTATTCACAACTGCCTTATACCAGCGGTATATTCACAAAGCTATTCATTAACTGCCAGCGGTATATGAAGCTATTCACAACTGCCTTATACCAGAGGTATATGAAGCTATTCACAACTGCCTTATACCAGAGGTATATGAAGCTATTCACAACTGCCTTATACCAGCGGTATATGAAGCTATTCACAACTGCCTTATACCAGCGGTATATGAAGCTATTCACAACTGCCTTATACCAGCGGTATATGAAGCTATTCACAACTGCCTTATACCAGCGGTATATGAAGCTATTCACAACTGCCTTATACCAGAGGTATATTGAGCTATTCACAACTGCCTTATACCAGAGGTATATTGAGCTATTCAAACATTTTTTAATGATTAGGTTGTCTCCTGCACAACCTTACACCCCAAGTCTGGCATGCCAACAATTTTGACACTCGCTGGTCAATCCTCCAGTGATAAATGACTGGGCTCATTCCGCAACCTTAGCGCTAAGACAGTCGTAACTCCCAAACTTTAACATAGACTTACAACTGTCATAGCTCAGTGAAACAGGCCTTGTGTTACAATGTCAAATATTGAGAGCCCACGAACGTGTGGATTAGACAAAGTTCATTAGATTATAGTTAAAACTGAGACACATGAACCAGAAACAAGGTCAGTTAGATAGGAATTTCTCTCCAGGTACACATAAAAATGAGAGCTTAGAACTTTCTGTTTAAATTTGTGCCTTAAGATTTGACACTTCTCACTCATATGTGGGTGGGTGGGTGAGTGAGTGAGTGAGTGAGTGGTGAGTGGGTGAGTGAGTGAGTGAGTGAGGTGAGGAGTGGAGTGAGTGAGTGAGTGAGTGAGTGAGTGAGTGAGAGTGGGTGGGTGGGTGGGTGGGTGGGTGGGTGGGTGGGTGGAGAGTGAGAGTGAGTGAGTGAGTGAGTGAGTGAGTGAGTGAGTGAGTGAGAGTTTGATTCAGTGCCGCTTGGAACTGTATTCCTGTTATAATGTGTCAGTTAACGAGAGCAGCCAAGGTGGCTGAGTAGGTTAGTTTGCTGACTTTGTGTGCTGCCTCTGAGAATGGGTTAAAAACCAACTAGATTCTCTACTTTACTGAGAAATTCCCAAAATAATATATGTTATCAACGTTCTTTATATCTTTACAGGCTTCTTCGGAAGGGCATCATTCAACATGCTGAAAACTCAGGTCTAATTGGTCAGAAGGTAACAGAATCCTCATTCTTTTAAAACATCTTCAAACTGAAACATTCCTGACATGAATTTCTGTGTGGCTTAATTTGTACAAGCCATCTGGTTTCTTTGACTCCCTATCAGGGAAGATATTAAACAGTCAGGAAGGAAAAGGCAATTTCCAATGTAACTACTGTTTTCTCACTCCAAACCACACTAAGACATGTCCAGGTTACTTTGAGTGAGTGAGTGAGTGAGTGTAGTTTTACGCCGCTTTTAGCAATATTCCAGCAATATCACGGCGGGGGACACCAGAAATGGGCCTCACACATTGTATCCATGTGGGGAATCGAACCTGGGTCTTCGGCGTGACGAGTGAACGCTTGAACCACTAGGCTACCACACCGCCCCCCCAGGTCACTTTGGTCAGTAATACAAGTGGTTCATTCTGTAAACAGGCTGATTAAACTGTACAGATATGGAAATTGGTGCAACATAACTGTAAATTTCCAGTTAGGCCAGACCAATTTTAGTTCTTGTTTTATGGATTTTTGTCCTCAGAATGAGTGAGTGAGTGAGTTAAAATTTAAAGTCACATCAATATCTCAGCCTTATCGTGACTAAAACTAGTTCTAAATTCATAATACATACATATAATATATAAAACCCTGTCAACAAAGGACAGTACAATTACTAGATATCACAAAATAAGTTAAAACTAGGTAGCATATATCTTTGAAAGTAGAAAACTATTTTTGGACAATACAATGTGAAAATGGGCTATAGAGAGCCAACAACTGAAGGTAGGTCAGCATACTAGGGACCATGGGGACTACTTACAGTACCTTTGCTACCTGCTTGTCCTCAGAAAACCTAAAGGCTGGAGGGAAAAAATAAAAAATATAAAATGATCGGTCAAAGTAATATTCCTTCTAAATACTAAATGTATTTTACTTTTGGGAATTTATGAAGTGTATATGGGGCAAAATATAATCTAAAAGAAGTTTTCTTGTAAGTTTACATTTTTGGCAAAAAAACAACAACATAAGGATTTTATTTTTTGAGCGGGGATTTTGTTTTCTTTTTCTTTCTTATTCTTGCAAAAATACGACCGGCGGATCTCTAAAACAAGAAATAAAATTGGTCTGGCCTTACCAGGAAAATTGATATCATCTGTATATCCTGTATGATCAAAAGTGCTGTATTTCTATTACCCTTCTTTGTTCAAATGAATATAATTATAATTGGAGTGCTGTATTTCTATTACCCTGGTCAATAGATGTTTGTGCACCCTATTTTCATTCTCAACTCCCTAGGGATCATACAGCTCATAATGTTGGCACAATACAGCTGTTGTTATTCAATACAGGTTCATTTGTGTGTCTAGCTGGAATGCCCAATTTCATGCATGTTAACATGCATTCTCTATGGGAGTAAATCAGTTCTGACGCTCAGTGAATAACATTACGACATACACATTCGTGTAATAATCTCTGACCAAATGTTACACCATATTAAAAATATTATTAAAAAATACATACTGCGACAGTTACACCCAACAATAAAGTTTAGCACACATTGAAGGAACAGATTTACTACTCAATAACCTTTTATATTGATCTGAATACGGTACGTCCTTGCATGAATGTGCTCGCGACTGCAGTGTATATGCATATTGCAAGCAATGATATTCCCTTTGCATGCACGTTCTGGTCTTAATATATCTTTCACTTCCGTGTTGGACTGAATAAGGTTTTAAGGTTATGCAAACTTGTAGACAGAAAAGGTGGGTGAGTGATTGGGGTCATGATTTATGTTTCTATGTTAGCAATCTTTAAGTGTCTTAAAACTGTTTACGTAATCCGCTTTAGTGTGATGGGTCAAGTATGATTAAAACAACAGTGTCCTCATTTTCTGTTAAGCTAGTGATCTTTGATCTTACCATGCTTTCATACACTGCGATACTTTACCCACAGAATTAACCATGACGTTAGCCAGAAAACAGGCATGATCTCCCAACTAGCCATAAATTCATAAACAGCAACAATTAAATGCACAGAATGACACAGGTAAACAGGCAAGATCTTCCAACTAGCCATAAATTCATAAACAGCAGCAATTACACCCACAGAATGAACAGCAACAATTACACCCACAGAATGAACAGCAACAATTAAACCCACAGAGGTGAGGTGAGGTGAAATTGGGTTTAACGTCGTGCTTGAGAATATTTCGCTCATATGACGACGTGCATGCGTGTGTATGTGCGGCTGCTTGTACTAGCTTAGACTGAAGCTGGTTTTATATTGCTAGCCCACTGAGATACCATGCCGCAGTGAAGCATGAATACCCCATTCAGACACATTAAACTGACTCCGAGACGACCAGTCCTTGTTGTACCCATTAATGCCGAGCGCCAGGCAGGATAAACCCACAGAATGAACAGCAACAATTAAACAGACAGAATGACCCAGGTAAGACACAAAATTGTCCGGTAACTGGTGAGATCTTCCAACACAGCTATACATTCAGACACTGCACTAACTACACCCAATCAGAACTTGCACAAAATGATTTCATAAAACAATTCTATACTACCATTATCTCACATCTGACATGTCCTTGGCTTTAATGAGTGTGTTCATATTTCACGCCACATCGTCAATATTTCAGACATCATAGCGATGATGATTGTCCTTACAGCCAACAAGCCAACCTACAGTAGATGCATGTAAGGATCTCGTCTCACCAGGAGGCATACACCCAACGAAGAGGTGTAAAAAAAGACACTCACCTTTTCTGGGATTACCGTGCTAGAGAGGTCTAAGTCACCCTCCGTCGCCTTATCAGTGACGCAGGTTACATGCAAGGTCTTGCGTACATCATGTCGCTGTGGTATGAGTGGAGCTCTTTAGACAGGGAGTCTCACATCCGTCTACCCTAAATGTACACACAATCTTCCGTACTCGACACCCTGTAATCTTCCACCCCTCTAACAACTGTTCGCCCATACTTTTGTGTAAACACAACATACCATGTCATTTAAACAGGCTATTTCCCTAAACACTCAGTAACCTAAAAATACCAACCTGTAGGCCCACCTGCACAAAGCAATCTTAGCTGCGCAAATTGAAAGTCTGTGTAAAATTATGTTCGATCTAAGAACTAACGACTACTTAAGTTTATATCAAGGTATGAGAATGTTTCCCCGCTAACAACTACTATAAACTTCTATTATTTCAAAGAATGAGAGCTATGATTATTGTAATTGCTAAGGTCACTTTGTGCACGTGGGCCCAGGCGAGTGAAATACTTGAGGTGCAAATTTAATTAAAGTGAACCTCACCTCCAAATACTGATCACCAGTTTTTATATATATACGCAAAATGCATCATTTGAGAGAAAGGTTACTGGATGAAAACATTTACCATGATCATGAAATCATCAAGGACAGAACAAGTATTATTTATTAACTGTTAAAGAGTGGTGTTGTTTAGCATCATCATTGTGGATAGGACTACCTAATTGGTTGTTTTAGAGCCATCTGTAACCATGGAAATGTTTTGGCTATTCAAAACAATATACAAGTTCCATAAAGGGAGAAAGATGGGCCTGATTATTAACAGTGAACGAGTGGTACTGCCTCGTGTCACTAATGCAATCAGGCCTAGTTTATTGCAATATATTCAGTTAAATTACCATTTTCACCCAAAAAAGCAATCCCAACAGAAACATATTGTTGCAAACACAATATAAGCAGGATGTGATTGATTTTTTCTGATTTTTCAGTAGCATGTTTAATTAAGTTCTCTCTATTTTCCAATGTTTCCTTTCCCAGCCTATTTTGGGTTAAAAATCTCAAAATTATGTTTGTGTCTGGCTTATCGAAGAACCTTCCCATATTGAATTTTCATTGATAAGCACATGAGAGCAATTTCGACGACATATAATTGCATGAAAAACATAAATAAATATCAATAACTCTACCCTCAAATACCTCTTGATATTGATATAATAATGATAGTTGCCAGAGTAATTGCTATGTCGCAGAGTGTATACTGATGTGTCTACAACTTGCAGCCCTTAGTAAAACCCTTATACTTATACACCCTTGAAGATCCGGGTTAGAATTGGTCTTCAGTAACCCATGCTTGTTGTAAGAGGCGACTACCTGGATTGGATGGTTCAGACTCGATTATTTCCAGACTGCCGCCACATAGCTGGGATATTGCTGAGTGTGGCGTAAAACTAAACTCACTCAATCATTATACTCATACACCCTGACAAGTGAATTATTGTGACAAATAAAGTATAAATTACTATACTTCGTGTAACTAAAGCAATTATATAAATCAACTGTATAAAGAGATTCAATCACAATCAATGTCCAAATATTTATTAACAATATATATGATAATATTTAAAAAATTCTTCCCATGTGGAATGAGTGAGGGAGTATGGTTTTACACAACTTTAAGCAATATTCAAACAATCACAATGAGGGATGCCAGAAATATGGGCTTCATTCATAGTACCATGTAGGGAATCAAACTCGAGACTTGGGCGTTACATCAAATGCTTTAACCACTAGGCTACCCCAGGGTTGCCACTTGGTTCCATGGACATATTGCACCTCATACCGAAGTCTCGATTCAGTTATCAGTTCAGCAAATGTCGTAAGAGGCGATTAATGGGATCAGGTGACTTGGTTAACACATGTGTCATCAGATCCCAATAGTGTAGATGAATGCTCATGCTGTTGATCACTGGATTGTCTGGTCCAGATTCAATTATTTACAGCCAAATAACTGGCATATTGCTGAGTGTGGCAACAACAACCCTTCTCAATGGGGCTCCTTTTCAATATAATGGAGCGATTTGTTTCTCTCAGAGTTAGATATTTTCAGAGACTAAGTTTTATTCTAAATAAATCCTGTCAAAATGTTTAAAAAGTATAAGCCTAATCATTTTTGACAATTAATATATCTTACGACATGCCTCAACTTCCAGTGCTAGTAACATTTGTTAATTTGCTATTTGCAACTTTACTACCTATTATTTAAATTGTTTTAAAATTTAAGGACATTAATTTACAGAAATGAGTTGTCACGATATGGCTGAAATATTGCTGACGTGACTCTAAATATTATCTCACTCACTTATAGAAATGAGAGTTTCTGGAATATCACAAGCAATATATTTTGAGAACATAAGAAGGCCTGTCAGTTTATATGGTCTCCTCAAGTTTGTGTCATTATAATTAATTATAGTTCTCTTCCTTCCTCCCTCGGACATTCCAATCCTCCTCACCACTAAAGAATGTAGATACGCTCTCAATCTGCATGGCTGCGTGATACAGGCTCACTGATGTACACGATCCTATCTCAATTTGCTTCAACACCCGATTATTTTCTGATTATACATTACATATAGCAAAACAGGAAGTATGATAAATGCATCCCAAACTAGAAAGTATGAAATCTTTTTTTTTTTGCACATTAAAAAAGTATTTCCGTAAATAAATTTACCAGTTTACAGTCCTGTTTAAAATACCAGTGCATTCAATACTTTTGGTAAAATAGTTTTAAATTCTACAGGTACATAGCCTATTTTAATGGTACATTACTGATAATTATTTGGTGAACAGAAAAACTGAGAGATATAAGCTCATCCTTGTTAATGTTACAAGGGCTCATTACAGTGGTAATTAATTCCCTATTATCACAACTGTGTCTAGCACTGAAATGGAGCCCATCTTAACGACCCTGCTTCTGACAGGCTCATTTTTATGTGTAGAGATGAATTATATACATTCAGCCAACTCAGGATTTTTTTCTATTTACAGCTGTTAACATTAACATTAACTTAAAATATTAACACAATTACAAGCAATTAATGCTAAATTTTGAAATTTGTTTTAATATTTCAACTAGAAAAATAAGAACTAGAAAATCAAGTTGATATTACATCTTTAAAAAATTAAAACACTATAAGTAGCTTCTATTGGTAAATATCTTTAGCTGAAATTGCTGGACCTTGACAAGGACAGGGCTTTTTATTAAAGTCAATAGGACTATTTATGGCCAGACCAATTTTATTTCTTGTTTTACGGATCTATGGTCATATTTTTTTTAAAATAAGAGAAAATATATATATATATATTTTCCCTGTTTGAAAAATAAAATCTTAATGTTAAGATATATGGGAGCGAAATTTCGACTACACAAGGCAGTTTGTTGGACACGAAAACACCGATATCTGTTCTCAGACACTTTAAACTGAAGTATCTAACAATATTTGTGTTGAGCACCTCAGCAAGTGTGAACTTGAAAAACAATGCCTTTGAAAAACTCCCCTGCTTTGACTAGTGATTTTTTTATTTTTTCCCCCCTCCTGCCTTTAGGTTTTCTGAGGACAAAAATAAAACAAAAAATAAAATTGGTCTGGCCTAAGTTTGAAAAAGAAATCCAGCAATTAGACCTTATGTCTAATTGCTGGATTTCCTTTTTGAACTTAAATGTGTATCTTTGAAAGTACAAGATAAAACACTTCAGAGGAAATATTAAAAGCCTCCATGCAAATTTTACTACTTCACTCTTCATACTTATCTGGGTTATTGAGTATAACTGAGTATAACATCACTTTGATCTGTACTTTTGTGATTAATTAACAGCAATCGTACAAAGGTGAAAGATGAAAGACAAAATATTGAAGCTCCTTGATGATTACCACTAATACCAGGTATATTGATGCAGGTATATTGATCATAGTCCATGAATATCTTGGATTTGCACCCTATTAGCGAATTCTAATACAACTAAGGACCGCAACTCTGCAGGGCAGCGTATTAGATTTAGTAACCTCAGCCTACCCATGTCCTGGCATGAGAAATGGATACCCCCACCACACACTCTAGCCCCAACCCCCACCACACACTCCCCTACCCCAACCCCACCAAAAACATATAATAATGTAAATGATAACACTGGCCTCAAAATTCTGGAGCCTATTCTTTGTAAGAAAAAAAACAAAGAGTATATTACACCTTCCTACCTACAAGCCAACCAGCCAACCAACTATCCTACCTGATCAGCCAACCAACAATCCTACCTGATCAGCCAATCAACCATCCTACCTGACCAGCCAACCAACCATCCTACCTGATCAGCCAACCAACCATCCTACCTGACAAGCCAACCAACCATCCTACCTGACCAGCCAACCAACCATCCTACCTGACCAGCCAACCAACCATCCTACCTGATCAGCCAACCAACCATCCTACCTGACAAGCCAACCAACCATCCTACCTGACCAGCCAACCAACCATCCTACCTGACCAGCCAACCAACCATCCTACCTGATCAGCCAACCAACCATCCTACCTGACAAGCCAACCAACAATCCTACCTGACCATCCTACCTGACCAGCCAACCAACCATCCTACTTGACCAGCTAACCAACCATCCTACCTGACCAGCCAACCAACCATCCTACCTGACCAGCCAACCAACCATCCTACCTGACCAGCCAACCAACCATCCCTAAATACCAACCATCTTACAAGACCAACCAACATCCTACCTACCAACCAGCCAGCAGCCAGCCAGCCAGCCAGCCAAACCAAACCAAACCAAACCAAACCAAACCAAACCAAACCCTATTCAGTAATTAAGTGTAACTGGGACCAGCTACTATAATTTATAGCATTAGTTTTATTAGGCCTCGTATCAACCAGTGTCACTTTCATTTGTCGCTTGTATATTTGCTTGTGAGGGACCAGTCATTTATTGAAAAAAGAGGAAGGGAAATTAGGGAAGGAAACCCCCAAAATGACAGTTTGTAGGGGAGGGTTATAACAAATAATTTACATGTTCAGGGAGGGTCATAAAAAATGGATATTCTATTATTGTTTGGTTTTTGTTTTTCAGGATTGGTTGTGAGATTAATGAACAAGCACATGT